ACACGGAAGGATTTCGGGGTAGTTTCCATATTTCCAACAAAACATAATAGAAAAAAGAAAACTCTGAAGGCATCTGGTTTAAAACTATGTAAATCAGGTTTCTGGTTTCATAACAGCCTTAAGTCCCAGACCTACCAAGCGTCACAAGATTTAGTTAAGACCGAAATCTGCTGAGCGTCCTGGGCCAGCCAAACCAGCCGTGGGCACAAGTGGAAGACAGGAGGCCTCTGTTAACTAAGGGGAGCTAAGGTTTTCCCAACAGAGCGAGGAGGGGGGCAGGAGGGCCCCTCCCAGAGTTTCCAAGAATCTCTTAAGCGGTCTTGACTGGAGCCCTTTCCATCATAGTTAGGCTCCTCAAATTTACCCCCACCTCCAGGCTATTCCCTACTGAGACCCCCCGCTCTTGTAGCTTTCTACAGTATCCTTTCAATACTTTGACAACTTGCACTCCCAGCTCTAAGCTTATACTGGCATCAAACTTCGAATCCCTCTCTCACACGTGCACACTGGAGACCAGGACTACTGGAATTAAAAGCTGGTTAGACAGGGTCTAGAGACCCTACATTCAAGAGTGCAATGGTCCCTTCAGATCACTTAGCATCAATTTGCTGGTCCATGCCACAGCCTCCCTACAGGTAAAGTTCCACTTCTACTAAAAGGGCCCACTGGGTATGTAGGGCATTCAAGTATCCTTGGATGTGGTGGGAGAGACACAGTAAAATGCCCTGCCTCTGGGCTGTTTAGGTGGCTGTCCTGCTGACTCCTGCCTTCAGGGATAAGGAAACCCGCTAGCAGCGCTTCTCAACCTGTGGGTCTCGACCCCTGAAAATACATCTGCATATCAGATATTGACATTACGATTCATAACAGTAGCAAAATTACAGTTATGAAGTAGCAACGAAAATAATTTTATGGTTGGGTGTCACCACAACATGAGGAACTGTATTAAAGGGTCGCGGCATTAGGAAGGTTGAGAACCACTGCGCTAGAGCCAGGGGCCCCTGGACTGGCCTCCATGAGTCTTCTCCCAGGTGGAGAGGTGGCAGGTGCCACCCTTCTGCAGCACTTTCAGTTTTGCTTCTGGGGCCTGAGCCGTGCCAGGCCTTGGCTGCAATGCACAGCTGGAGAGCCAGCCCCATTTACCACAAGGAAACTTGCTTCGGCCAAGATCGTGGGCCCAGTTCTGCTGTCCCAAGCAGTTTTATAGAAGGTGAGGTGGGACGGCCCGGAGGCACTAGCCAAACCAAGCAGACCAACTGAGCTGCATGTGGCATCGGGGCCAGCCCAGCCAGCTGTGCGGGAGGGCGGGGCTGGGAAATGCCAAGTCAGCCACATTCCAGCCTCTTCCTGCAAGGCCATCAACAAGTAACCACACTGGGCAGGAAGGAGGAAACCACAATAAAGACAGTCTCTCCTGGAGGGACCACAGAAGGCCCAGGAGGTTCACATGTCCCATCCCACCTCTCCACACAGTTGCCTTTCTCCAGGGCGAGTGAAGAAAGGACTCAAGCACAGTCCTCCAGCTGGGATCTCAGAACTCGGCCTTTGGGACTGATAAAGGCTAGTTGGGTGCCATGGGAGGACTGATCTAAGGGAGAACTCTGCTTCGTGAAGCCTTGGTGGGAAGGACCAAGAGGATAATTCAATCATCCAAGATGCCTTCATTGAGAACGGCTGCCATGAAAAGACACTAGGCCAGCCCCTCCCATGCACCAGCCACAGGCGTTTCTAGGGACACCCTTCTACTTTGTCTATTTTTAGATTTGGGTGGCACTGCTTTCCCTCTAGGTCAGGCTAGCAGACCAGAAAAGGAAGTAGACCTCTCTCTCTTCCATTTCCTGCATCTGAGAAGTCTTCAGAGCCTATCGATCTCATTCCTAAAGCTTCAGTACATCATCCCTTCCCCATAGCTGTAGTCCATTCTTCCTCACTCTTCACAATGACCATTGGGTAGCCTTCCTGTCCCGACTGGCTGGGGCCCTCTTTGCCATGAATCACAAGACCCAGCATGATCTGGATGCCGGCCAACTCTGCCGTCTCATCTCCTGCCTGGCCACAGCCTGCCTCCCAATGTAAGCCATGCTTCTTGCAATTCCTTCCACAAGGACCTACCTTGTTCATATCTCACTACCCTTGCAGCCCCCTCTGCTAGGATGCCCTTATCCCTGGTGCATCTAAGTCGGAGCATTTTCCCATTTGTAAGCGAAGAGGTGGCTCCAATGTCGCCTCCTGTGTAAAGCTTTCTCTCACATGCCCTCCCTCCCCTGAGTCCCTGCAGCACCTTATCTGCCTCTATTATTATACTGACTTTAAAGTGCAACCACGTGATTAGCTATCTCTTCTTCCAGGAGCTCCTCCAGACCAAGAGCTGTGCCCTTGTCCCCGAATGTCCCCAGAACCCAGCGCAGAGCTTACATGAGGGGAGGGCAGAGATGTTAGAGTTTGAGCAAAACTAAAATCTCCATGCCTGACAGGTGAGTTGGGAGGGAAGACACCCTGCGTTCAGCACTGTCCAGCATCCCTCTTGTCCCTTCTCCCACTGTCCTGAGTAGGACTGTTTCCCACTGGCCTCAGCTGATGTCCAGCTTTAACTGCCAGACCCTGAGCGGAGGCAGGAGAGCCCGGATGTGGTTTCCTTTACGCTCGTGTGTGCATCAAAGAGAACTCAAGTGCTCTGTATCCCCTCCCTGCCCTCCCTGCTTCCATCATATGCCATCGATCTTTCTAACTCTCTATCCCTCTCCCTTCCTCTCTATAAAAAAGCAATAAAATATAAAAAAAAAAGATATATTTCTCTGTATCAGACAGAGATCCCTCCACCTATCCACCCACCCTTCTAGCTGTTTAATCATTTAGCAAATATTTATTGAGCACCTGCTATGGGCCAGGCACTATTCTGAATTCTGGGAATAAACACAGCAGGGAAGAAGGACTGGCCCTACTCAACCCCTCCCCAGTCTCCACAGCATCTGGGAAAGTCAGGGGCCCCATGTTCCCCGCTGGGCCCAAGTCCTGCTCACATTCTCACCTCTCGCCTCCAGTGGGCGCTGCTGAGTTAATGGCCTGCACCATGTCCGTGGTGAGGGCATCCAGGAGGCTGGTGATAAATTCCATTTTCTTTCCTTCCGGACAGCCTGAAAAATACGGTGAGGTTTGAAGGCTGATGCCAGGTAAATAATCAAGTAAACAGTTTCCTCGGCGACCACCATTTCCCAAACCTCTCCAAGTCCTTCTTGTCCAGCCAAATCCATTTTGGGAATCGTTTACTGCTCAGATGACTCTCACAAACCTCCACAGTTCCTCTACCTGCAGCCCACAAAGGACCGTCAGACAACATGGATAGTAAGGCTTTTAATTTGCTTTCATCCCACAAATTTTTGCTGTGTGTCAACTCGGGCACAAACTTTTGCTGTGTGCTAACTGTTAGGGATATAACACAGGGTATAGTGTCCTCATCCTCGTTAAGTTCACAGTCTACTGGGGAACTCCAGCTGGTTCTATTACAGCGTGACCAGCAGTCTCTGCAGGCAAGGATAGGAAACAGCGGTCTCTCCAGGAGCTGAAGGCACCAAGGTCAATGTTGACTCAAATAAACCTACCAGTGTACCTATCCAAGAGCCTCCTCCCCTTTCTCGCTTCTCTTCTCATCCAACTTAGATGATAATGATCAAATCTCCCTTATAAATGCTCTGAAATCCTTTGCTTTTCTTCTCCTCCTTTGCTCTATTCCAGCAAGACCCAAAGCACGGATCAACCTTCTCACAGATTTGCTCTTTCCAAGTCGACAGCTCAGTATTGCTAGTGTGCACACCACCACACAAATGGGTGTCCCTGTCAATTCAATGGGTCCCGGACACTCCCTACACAGTCCTCCTTGGTGACTATTCATTGCAAACACTGCAGGTCTCAGTGTACCTTCTGTGCAAATACCTCTTCAGGGAAGCTGCAGACTCTGAAGTAGGCTCTCCCTGCCCTTCTCACAGCACCGTGCTCTTTCCCTTCAGAGTTCCTGTCGCTGCTATTTGTATGTCTGTATTCATTTATTTGTACACTCTCTGTCTCCTCCACTATGGAAACCTCATGTCAATTTTTGTTGTTGTTAATCCTCACCTGAGGAAATTTTTCCATTGAGAGTGGAAGGGAGGGAGGGAGAGAGAGAGAGAGAGAGAGAGAGAGAGAGAGAGAGAGAGAGAGAAAGAAAGAAACATCAATGTGAGAGAGACACATGCTTTCATGCTTTGGTTGCCTCCTACAGGTGCTCCAACTGGAGCTGGGGGTTGAACCCTCAACCCAGGTATGTCCCCTTGACTGGAAATTGAACCCAAGACCCTTTGGTGTGTGGGCTGATGCTCTAACCACTGAGAAACACTGGCCAGGGCCCATGTGTCACTTTTGATCATGCAATGATACTCAGTGCCAGGCACACGGAGAATCCCAATTCACGTTTGCTGAGGAGATGGCTAGAAGGAACTACCCCAGCCTCCACAACTCCATTCTTGTAACAGGGTGATTTCTACACACCTCACTTGGAAACCCCATACCTTCAAGAGCCTCTGTTGCCAGTTCTCACACTGGAGTCCTGATGGGGAATGGGGAATAGGGACGGGGAATTGGAAGGGGGGCCCAGCTCCCACAATCACGGGTCCCAGTTTATGCTGATTTAAACGAGTGTTTCAAGCCACCAATCTGTAATAATCTTCTCGTAACTCATTAGCAGAGTACTCTATGAATAAGGGGGAAGCCAGCACAGAAGCCATGTAGAGGTCCTGGGCCCCCCACCTGTGTGTCTTGTGTCATAGGCCAGTGACAGTCCTGGGCCACCAGGGATCATCGCAAATGCACTTGGCAGGGCAGGCGACAGGCAGTGCCCACATCCCCCAGGACAGCCCCTCCCTGTAAGCTGTCTGCTCTTCACAGCCCTGGGGAAAAGGGTTCGCAGCACCCAGAACGCTGTCCCGGTCACCACAGGACAGAGAGAGAATGATAGGATTGCAGGGACAGATTGTAACCCAGTGATCACATGTTGAAGATAAAAAGGTCAGGGCAAGGAGGAGAGACAATGTGCTCAGGGGCACAGGACTAAGTAGGGACAAGTCCCGGACTGGATGCAGACCCCACAGCTCCTGGCCCCGTGCTCCCAGATGCCCCTGTCCAGCACGCCTGCTCCATCTCACAGACAGGACACAGACCTCAGGAGGGAGCACTTTGCACGATGAGGAGGGGGTGCAGAAAAAGGTGAGGTGCCAGCAAGGGGCAGCGTCATCTCCCACCTGGCAGCTCCCTGTCCTTGAAGGGATCATCCACTTCCGTGCTCTTGGCCCTGGCGTCGCTCTCACAACTGGGCATCACGTAGCTGGGGAGAGAGAGATGATGCGTGAGGAGGGGACTTCAGCCACTGCTGCAGCAATGATCTGTGTTGTCATGAAGCCTGGAGCTCCCAGGGCCGGCAGGGAAGTACCTCCTGCCCTGGCCAGCAGCCTCACTGAGCAACCCAGCGCAATGTTCCCACTGAGACGTGTCCTTCAATCGTTTAAGCATAGAGATGGCACCGTGTGTCTGTACACGGGATCTTGTTTGATCCATAGGACCTAGTGAGTCAGGCAGGGCAATAGCTTCTCATCGGGGAACTGGGGTTCAGAGAGGCTACCTACTTTTCCCAGATCGCCCGGCATCCAGGACCCAGATCTCTCTGTCAGAACCTCATCTGCCCATGAAGGGAGGCGCTGCTCCCCCAGTGCCTTGATTCCCCCAACCCAGGGCAGTGAAGCTGGGAGGGGCCGGGGGCCAGCCCCAGGATCCGCCCGGGGGGACAGGACAGGCTTGGGGGACTTACCGTGTGGAGGTCCCAGGCAGCGGGCGCCCCGTGTCCACCAGCACACACCAGCAGTAGCCCGTGGACTGGTGGCACTGCACCGGCTTATAGAGCCCCCCAGGGGCGCACTCTGGGATGACAATGCCCTCCCGGGGGTTCTGCCGGGCCTCCTCCAGGGCACTCTGCCTCTCCTGGTCACATGAGTGGACTTTCTCTGCAAAAGAAGACACAGCTTGTGGTTACTATCCCTCCCGTGACTCATCGTTGCTGCCCTCCATGCAAAGACCCAGCCTGGTCCCAAGGAACTGAGAGCTTGGCTGGCGAATCCTCAGGAAGAGCAGAGCGGTGCCTCCCCGCCTCCAGGCTCATCAGCATCCACACCCAGTAGGCTCCAGCCAGGGACTGCGGCCACTCCTTACCAGGGCAGCGGTTTGCCAGGGGCTGGGGGGAGTGGGGGTGCATTTCCCGACTGTTTCAGAGTGGCTCCTGCTGTGCACTGTCTGCTGTCACAGTCACCACAGCAGATGCAGGGAAGCCTGCCTGTGGACTCTCCCAAGCCCAGACACAGCAGGACAGAGCCACGGGCCGCCAGCCTCAGCGGGAGCCATGCTCAGTGCCCAAAGGGGGCAGACACGAGGCCCTGCCCGCTCCTTCCCAGCTCCAACAAGGCTGGACAAAGGAAGCTGACGGGACTTGATCCTATTACACAACTCTGCTTCCCGCAGTGGGAGGGAGCAACGGGCTTTCGGGAAGGTGTCTGGACCCCATGGCCTCGGGGACCATGAACGTGTCTGGACAGTCACACTTGGCTTCCCTGGAGCCAGGGCCGGGCTGAGGCGTGTGCGCTGCCCAGCGCCAGGAAGGCCGGGTTAGAGGGCCTCAGACCCACACGGCCACCGGCCTGCAAATCCCACCCCGTCAACCAGCCAACCCACCTCACTTCCCTTTCTTGGTTTTCTTGTTATTGTTGTCGGGCTGTGCTTCATCTTGCAATTATTAAAAATAAATAGCATTGGGTTTCTTTTTGTGTTATAAAGAAATATTTAAAAACCCATAATCTCACCAATTCAATGCCACCTCCCCTAGATCTTTTCTTATGCGCGCGCGCACACACGCAAATGCATATGCATACGCCAACTTGCATTTTTACAATTAAAGGGATCACACCATAAATCTCTACTGTTACTTTTTATCTACTTATTTATTTGTTTGTTTCCCTTATTACTTTATTTTTTTTTCAAGATCATTATTCAAGAACTTTCCTCTTGAAGATGACAGGAATACAGCCTTGAGCGTGCCGTGGAATTTCCAGTGCGTTACAAAAATACCACTCCTAGGGCCAGGAATTTGGTTTCAGCAGCCTGGAGACTCATGCTACTCACTGAGCAACCGAACAAATGATCAAAATAACAGAAACTCAACTCTCGGGGAGCCAATCCCTCTGAAAGAATGGCTCTGTTAATGGTACACATATGAGCAGTGCAGATGTTTACGCTGCAGTCATGCCCAGAGATGCAGAGCAGCTCCACTCTGCCTCCGAGAGACACCGGGTGATAGGGAACCGACGGCCTCACAGAGCTGAGGAGTGGCTCACACTGCAGGGGGAGGGAACGTTTCCTTGGGGGCCTAAGAACATCTGAGGGTCAGGAGGCAGGTGTGGATAGCACAGCCACTATTACAACATCATTTTGAAACTGCAAAGTGAAAAACATACTATTGTTTTCATCATGCAAACACAGCAAAGCTAAACCGAATTGCCTTGGCTGGGGAACAGTTCTCCACAGCAGACCGGCGTTAGACTGAGGGTTCTGAACCGGAATACAGCTGCCACCTGCACAGCCTCTGGAGGCGGCTTAGGAAAGGGACGTAAGCCGATGGGTGAAACCTGGTTGGAGACCAGAGGTTGCACTTGAGCTCCTGGCTGGGAAGGAACCCTGGCACCTTCCAGGGGATTACGCAAGTTTTTCAGCCGCCGCTCAGCCCCAGTGTGGTAGCCTGATTTTCCTACCTCGTATTTCATGCCACAGAAAAGGCGACAGAGGAGCAAAACCAAAGGAAAACGGCGTTTGACCGGCACCGCGTTGGTGAACAACCTCTGACTGAGGCTTTAAATTAAGATCCTGTGGTCCAACATTCTAAAGCCATCAATCAGACTGAAAGCCAGACACAGAGAGGTGGGGGGGAAGCTCCCCCAGGAGCAGAGCGCATGATGAACCTGACCTCACACCACTGGGGATCCCGCAACTGCGGAAATGTGGAGAGGGGCCATCTCGGGAGGGTGGGGACTGCGGTTCGGGGGGGGGGGGGGTCTGTCCGGGAGTCGCTGGAGGCTGTTCTGAAATGCTTACAGCAGCTTCCATAGAGGCTGCACCACGTTCGATGGAGAATAAAAACCATGCAAATGGAAAACATGGGGGTTGGCGTGGAACTAGAGAGAAGGTTAAATGCAGGGGTTACCCCCTTTTATTTGTTTGTTTGCTTATTACTTTACGGTAGTCCCTACAAGTCTGGGTGCCCCTCTAAGAGAGAGACAGGAAAGGTTTGTCATAATAGCGCTAGCAGTTTGTCTTCCAACAGAGAGAAAATCTCCTTTAAAACCATCTTTAAACTAATCATAGTCAAAGCAAACATTCCGTGCGTAGCATGTGCCCGTTGACAAACCAGGGGCTTTCCTTGCCTCGTCTCTTCATCTGTGTGAGGTGGACATTATCATTATGGTCGTTTTGTAGACAAGGAAGATGAGCTTCGGAGAGATCCATGAACTCTCCCAAGTTCACTCAGGCTGGGAAGAGGAGGGCTGGGGTCCTGGTCGAGGGCTTCTGAGAATCAAGCCTGTCTTGCTAACCTCTGGACGGTCCTGCCTCTGATCATTGGCTCTTGGAGAAAAATATGTTTATTTTTATAGTGTGGAGTTTTTCCAGGTCAGTCTCCTTGCAAACGACCCCAAATTGCTGCCTCAAAACACATACTTGCTCATTCTACACAGCACAGCTTCTTCTGGAACAATTTCCTCAGCTTCAGCATACTATGAATCTTACACCCAAGTGTTTTTCCCTCTTTGCCTTGGAACTGGAAAACTTCAAGCCAAATTTGCACCTCGCCTGCCATTACAGAGGAGTGACATGAGTACCAAGAGCATTTGAGTGTTTTCTGTGCGCTGAGCTTGATACTGACACTTGCACTAACTCACTTGAAGCTCATCAGCAGCCTCTAAGACAAGTGTTCTCATTACCCCCGCTGCGCAGAGGAGGGCCGGGAGCACAGACTGGCTGGGTGGTCTTCTCAAGCTCATACAAGCAGGAGGTGGCAGAGCTGGGGTTTGCCCAGGCAGTCTGACCCTAGGCCAGTGATGGCGAACCTTTTGAGCTCGGCGTGTCAGCATTTTGAAAAACCCTAACTTAACTCTGGTGCCGTGTCACATATAGAAATTTTTTGATATTTGCAACCATAGTAAAACAAAGACTTATATTTTTGATATTTATTTTATATATTTAAATGCCATTTAACAAAGAAAAATCAAGCAAAAAATGAGTTCGCGTGTCACCTCTGACACGCGTGTCATAGGTTCGCCGTCACTGCCCTAGGCTGTGCTCCTTACCTCTGCAATATTGTCTCTCACCGCCATAGACAGGCCAATCTGATTTTATTGTAACCCGTGTTCTTCTTTTCTTTGGTGTGGCAGATTGTTACAAAATGGTCCCTAAATCCTTCGCTAATTCCCAATCTTGATTGTGCCCAGAGTCGATCCTTTTGTTCTGGGGACCTTTTCTCTTTTATCATCTTTTGCTTTTTTTTTTCCTCCTTTACTTTTTAAATTAGGTAATTAGGCCACACAATGAATTGCACCTCTCTGTATCCGGCCCTTGTGTAACCCCTCCATGTTTGTTGACTCTGATTTGCTCTGATCAATGGAAAGGGCAAAGGTGACAGTGTGTGGCCTTCAGTCCTAGGCCTTAAGAGGCCTTGAAGCTCCCAGTCTCACTTTCTTGGAAGCCACCTTGAGACCACCACCAAAGGAAGCCGGTCTAACCCCTGGAGGATGAAAGGCCACAGAGGAGGGCCAAAGGGGCTCAGCCTCAGCCAGTACCGACTGCCAGGCGGGAGAATGAGGTCATCTTGACCATTCCAGCCCAGCTGACCCTCAGCTGGATGAGTCCCAGAGTGAGTTCAGGTAGAACCAGCCAGGGAACCACCCAGCCAACCCATAGAAGCAGTAGAAAGAACACATTTTTATTTAAGCCATTGACTTTTGTAGCATCTTATTAAACAGCAACAGATAACTGAAACACTAGACTTGCTCAACTCTTTATCAATTTACCTCATATTTTTGTAGCCCTCTCAGACCCTTCAGCCAATCAATCAATCGACCAACTATTTCTACAGTGTTTCTCCAGAGGTCATTCAAATACTAATCACTATGTAGCAAGGATGAATGGAAGAAACGGGAAATATCATCAAGAGAAAAGATGTGTCATCAGAGACCAAGGCTAAGATCATCCACACCCGCATATTCCCAATAGCCAGGCACAGATGAGAAAGTCGGACAGAGAAGAAGTCCAATAGGAAAAAATTTTATTCATTAGAAATATGCTTACTTTATGAACACCCTGGACCACCAGAAAGATGAACAAGTGGATCCTAGAGCAACTTAAGCCTGAAACATCTCTGGAAGCAAAAATGACAAAACTGAAGCTGTCCTACTTTGGACACATCATGAGAAGTCAGGGTTCTTTGGAAAAGACAATGATGCTGGCAAAATAGAAGACTGAGCATGAGAAATTGACTCCATAAAGGAAGCCATAGGCATGAATCGATAGCAGCTGAGCAGGGCTGGTGAGGACAGGACATTATAGACATGGCTCATTCATAGGGTCTCCAGGAGTCAGAGCTGACTCACTTTCACACACACACACACACACACACACACACACACACACACATTCTGTCTCTGAGGACCCAGAAGCCAGTCCCAGCCTTGGAGCCATTTTCACCCCCTACCCTCTGAGTCCCCACCCACATGAATCTTACAATTTCCAACTGTCAGTTTTCCTAGACACCAAGAGGTCACCTTCTGGAATGCAAGGCAAGGAATCTATGTCAGGGGTCTCTTCATGGCCCTGGGTCAGAGAGGGCGCTCCCCAGAAGTGAACACTGTTGTTCTAAAATATTCCATCTCTGCTTAGGAGACTTCGAGGAAGAATGACAAGATTAGGA